GTTTATTAACGGCAATAACTAACATATTAAGATCGAATTTCAAGCATACGTGTGGGCCGTTAAAAAAAGGAAAAATTAAAAAAAATAAGAACAATTTAAAAGGATAATAAAAGCGAGGAATAAAACATGTGCAGTCTCCTTACCTTTTTTCCGTACCCGATTTGTTGCCAACGGTCGTTTTGACGCTATTTTGGCGACTTTCTTTGTAACACGTGCGGTGTCACCAGTCAACTGTATAATAGGAAAAATTATGAAAAAAATTAAGATAAAATTAAAAAAGAAAATAAGTATAGGTAATCGCATGGGGCCGAGTAAAATTAAGGGTTAATATCACACGGGTTTTCGGAAGTTGCTGAAATTGCCCGAGTCGCGCAGCGACGAGGGCAATTTCTGCAACGTCCGAAAACACAAGTGATATTAATCCTTAATTTTACGAGGAACCATGTAATTACTTGTTTATAATATAATGGGCAAAATGTTTTCTTACTGATCTCGCGCAAAACGGGACGCCATTGTTACAAAACAAACAGAAATTTCTTTACCTTGGCAGCCGTTGCTATGCGATTTTCAGCCAATCATTTTCAAGTAATTTTGCCCAAGTAATTAAGAAAAAAAATGCCCTCTGTCTTAACCAATCACAATTCAGTAATTTTGCCCCTTATATGATAAAAGCGAGGAATATATCGTATGAAGTCTCCTTCCCTTTTTTCTGTAGCTGCTTTGTCGTTTACGGTCCTTTTTAACGCTGTTTTGGCGACTTTCTTTGTAACGTGTGTGGTGCTACCGGTCAACTGTGTATAAAAAAACTCAAGGCTGGAAACTTCACAGGCGGCCCAAGCGTACTGTGTATGACTTTGGGGCGTAAAGTTCATTAACGGCAATAGCTAACATAATAAGACTGAATTTCAAGCGTACTTGTGGGCCGTTAAAAAATACCCTGGTCCCAGAGGTTCTCTTCTCTCTACCGGAGTACGAGAATTCGGCGCGAAGCGCCGACCAACGAGCTGTAAAGCAGCGAGCGGAGAGTTCTCTCCGCTCGCTGCTTTACAGCTCGGAGTTCTCTCCGCTTCGCGCCGAATTCTCGTACTCCGGTAGAGAGAAGAGAACCTCTGGGACCAGGGTATGTTGCCAACGGTCGTTTTAGCGCTGTTTTGACGACTTGCTTTATAACGCGTGCAGTGTCACCAGTCAACTGTAAAATAGGAAACATTATGAAAAAAATTAAGAAAAAATTAAAAAGGAAAATAAATGCAACTGAAGGAATATATCGTATGAAGTCTTCTTTCCTTTTTTCCGTAGCAGCTTTGTCGTTTACGGTCAATTTAACGCTGTTTTGGCGACTTTCTTTGTAACGAGTGTGGTGCTAGCGGTCAACTGTGAATAAAAAAAACTCAAGGCTGGAAACTTCAACCGGTCCCGAACACCAACCGTCGCCACTCGAAGGCCAATAAATTCCCCAAAAGTCAACCGATCTCTCTCAAATTTCCACCCGCGAGAGCGCTTAGCTATTTCCTACCCGTTCCAGCATAACCTGCGTAGCGGCCTTCTGGTGCTTGGCGCGAGAAGGGAAAATGAGGGCCTACGGACAAGGCCGTTGTTGTTGACTATCCGCCCCCAATTAAATTTCAAAACACGCCTCAGAAAATGAACCAATCAGTGATTACCGGAAGTAAAATGCACATCGTTTGCACCAGATTTCCTAAAAATTGAGTGTTACTCTACTGTAAAGTAACACTCAACGCAAAATCTACCAAATCGCTCAAATTCGCCATTTAGAACCACAGAAACGACAATACACAGCAAGTCAAGTAGGTTTACATTTATTTTGAGCCTTAACATAGACGACTCTTCAATATTTTCCCATTTTTCCCATATTTTCCCTTTCAATATTTTACATTTCTTTACATTTCGAACAAACGACCAGACACCCCGCTTGTGTGGCCTCCCTGTGGTAAAACCGTTAATGACCTTTAAACCCCAATTACACGTATACTCGACGTGATGTTAACTTTCTTGTCTCGGTCGAAGGTCGGGAATAACGCTGCGTGGCGTGACCATTGGCCAGAATCAATAAGTTGTCAAAGAATTTAGCCCTTTTGAACTATTGACTATTCAACAATTAACTATCAGACTATGGTATAATGCTGCGGCACATTCTGTTGATAGTGACGTAGTTTTCGCAGTATCGAAAGTCAGGAGTCGCACAGGCCTATCAATACTTCTTGAAGGTCGACTGTCTTCTGCTCTCCGGCTCACCGGCGTGTCAACTTACGCAATTTTAGTTATTAATGGATCAAGTGACTCCTTTCATTGCTCTAATTCAACCTTCCTTCACTCAGTGATCAAGACACTAGATTTACAGTACAATACTCACAATGATTAATTTGCCTTTACTTCATAGGTGGAAATTACGGTGGCTCTCAAGGGCCATCCACCTACAAAAATTTTCATGACTTTATCGCGCGATAAGTTTTGCTAAGTCCATTCATTCAAAAAATTTGCAATCAACNGTTGATTGCAAATTTTTTGAATGAATGGACTTAGCAAAACTTATCGCGCGATAAAGTCATGAAAATTTTTGTAGGTGGATGGCCCTTGAGAGCCACCGAAGGAAATATCCTTCCAGTAGTAACGCTATGTAACGCAATACACTAAACACAACAAACGTGGTGCAGTGCACTCTGGTTAAATGCAATGTATTCTGGTAAAAAAGTGATGAATTCGAGAATTCGAAGCCTCTTTATAATTTTCTTAAATCGTGATTCTGTTGCTGATCGCTCGCTACGCTCGCTGTGCAGCAAATATTTTTAAACTGTCAGTTTTTCAGAAAATTAATTAAAGGTCTATTAAAATCTTCAACTGTTCGCGGTGAGCAGCGAAAATGAGGACAGTAGCGAGATCCGAAACGCCTACAAAGAGACGGTTGATATTAAGCTGCTTAATTGACGGTTGACAGGAAAAATTTATCCTTTTTGATGGCTGACGTTCGAACCCCATTAAGACCCACTTTGTTATTCTCATTGTTCTCGTTCAGGCTATGGGAGAACACTTTGACAGTGTTCAGCACTGATAATGGCGGAGAACCCACTTTTGGGGGATATAACTGGCCTCTTAGAGGAACAAAACATACCTTATGGGAGGGAGGAGTGAGAGGTGCTGCTTTTGTCCACGGAAAAATGTTAGAAAAGACCGGCGTGAAATGCGAAGGACTACTACACATCAGCGACTTCTTTCCTACCCTCATCAACTTGGCAGGTGTGGTTATCCATGATTTCGTTTCCAGTTTTCTATCATCCCTCACTTTACAATGTCTCTTTTTTTTTGCTTTTTCAAGATTGTTTAAGAAAAGTAACTCTATAAAAAGTTAGTCAATAGAAAATAAGGAAAATCTAGAGCCAATATCCCTCATTGAACATAACGTGGAGAGGGAACAGTTGTCCATCAAGTTACCAACGTAGCGAGTAATGGAGTGAATATCAGAATTAAATACCTTTCATAAAAACATTTGGTTAAATTTGTTTACTTTAATATTTTAGAGAACCAGTCGCAATTATTCAGAGTTCATTAAGTGAAAAGTATTCTTTGCTATTCTCGTCCCCTTTTTCCTTTCCTTTTTTTCCTCACTGCCTTATCTTTCGTGAGCGCTCTTCTTTGCTACCACCCTGTAAATTATATTCCTACCATTCTGGTTTGATTACAGGTGGTTCGTACGATGCAAAACATCCTATCCCCATTGATGGCTTTGATGTGTGGAACACTCTGTCCCATGGAGAGGCCTCACCTCGAACAGAAATCTTGCTTAATATCGATAATCCACCTTCCGGGACAAGTAAAATGTTAGGAGTCAACTGGCAAGGAATGGCTCTTCGGAAGGGAAGCATGAAGCTCTTGATGAATGTCAAAAATATCACCTGGTTCAAACCACCCGAGTTGAAGGGAGTTCCAGCTGATGTTCTTATTTCTGAAGGGTTACTCAAAGAAGAGACAAATGAAGAGACCCTGGAGCAATTGAGGATCTATTACATGGTCAGTGCTCACACTTGGTTCATTTTTTCCCGCGGAGCGGTGCCTTGAACTCACAGCCGCTTGGGTACTGATAGCAATACGCAATCCCACATCAAGACGCTTATGCAAATCACTTCGTTTAAAAACAATTTCTAATGTGAATTATTACTAAATTTTCTAAACCTCTTCTTTATTTTGGAATCTTTCAGGCAAATGCAGACCTTTTGGACGTTGTACTTTACAACATCACAGCTGATCCTAACGAGCGACACGACCTCAGCACTGAGTTACCTGATGTTCTGAAAGAAATGAAAGAAAGAATGAATTATTACCTAAACACTGCAGTTCCTGCCGCTTTTAAACCTAGCGACCCCAATGCGATAAAAGAGGCTCGTAAGAATGGTGTTTGGGGACCGTGGATGTAGACCTGAGTTGGAGGCATCAAGCACGCTGATAGTAAAAGTAGAGGGAAACGTTCGATTGAAATAGGTTTTTAACATCTGTAGACTATCAAAGGCAAACGTTGTTTTTCGTTACAGTTTTTATTGATTCCAAGTCTCTAAGTGAAAGGTGTCTCCCGTTTTTCAAGCCATTACTTGGTTAATAGCGCTAGTGAGGGTTAGGTTGCGATTTTATAGAATGTCGTTAAGAAGATAATCGACCTGTAAATGTAGTGATGGTGGGGAAGACAGAAATGACACTTAAGAATGATTTCGAGCTCACCCTATTTTTTCGGAGTAGTGCCAGTTAGAATCGAATTTTGTTCTTCGATGTAATTGAAACCACAATAAATGCCTTTGTCTGATTTATTCACGTCTATTGCACTAATTTATTGAGTAGCTTTGTGTCAGTGTCCTTGTACAGGAAATGTGACGAAGTTGTTTCTTTCGTCTTTATCCACCAACATTATCATCATCACCATCTCAATTTTTTCTCAGAAGTTGATAATGAACAAGACGTCTGGGACATTCTTGAAATCCCTAAAGGAAAAAATTGCTTCGCATGTCATTTTCAAACATGTTTACCCCTCTGAAAGAAAACTGAGTGATTGACTCGAATAGATGCCCTATATTTTCTAGGTCATTGTGGCATTAACTGATATCAGGTGTTGCTACACCTCCTTGAAGTGATGTTAGTTCATTCTGAGTCCGGCAACCCCCCGGCACTTCGTAAGGTTTCCCAAACAATTCGAAATTGTACTCTTGGATGGAGAGAGAGAGAGAGAGAGAGAGAGAGAGAGAGAGAGAGAGAGAGAGTTAGTTAGATTGCTGTGCGTATTTGCTACCATAAGTGCGTATTTGCTACTACAAATGCGTATTTGCTACCGTAGTAAATACTCACAATGAGTATTTTCTACCACAAATGTGTATCTTCTACCGTAAGGCATATTAATAGTCAATTTTCACAACAGAAATCAATATATGCTTCGACTGGGCAATATACCAGAAACGGAATTTTGCTACTAATACTGAGTATTACCTACATGGAACAATGTAGGTCTTAGGCGACGAAATATAACTCAACATTCTTTTTACAGTTACATATGCATGTATTTTCAACTTTTCTTTTCATACAGTATCTATATATAATTGTCAACACGTTATCTGTTGCCTATTCTTGAATATTACCACTCATCGAATCACTTTTCAAGTTGTATCGTGATGTACCTGTGTTGTATGAATCAATGATAATAAAAAATATATATATTTCAACTGAAAAACTGGTCCCTTTTTAACTGAAAGTCTGGACTGATGTTTAAGGCAGATTTATGTCTAACGGTAAAACACTTTAAGCTACTTTATCTGGTAGAAGTAAATAGCCCACCAATGTGTCGCGTTATGAGATGTCATAAGATTGCGTTACATGACGTTATGTGAGTACGTAAGCAGGAAAGGCGCACGTGGATCCCTCTGCACGCTGGATAAAGAGGTTTATAATATCCTTTACTTTGTCTAGTACTGAACTGGATCTTATTTAACCTACTTTTACTGTCCTGAGAAATAAAAACTAAACAGCAATTGAGAGACAGGGTCAGAAAAATGGCGCGGGAAATGAAAGTAAAGAAGGAGTGAATCATAACTAAATACCTTATAGTTACTGAGCCAGGGGGGTTACCCATTTTGTTGTGCATGCTTTCTTTGTAGTTAAAAAGAATGTGTTATAGCATGGGAGTAACACACTCGTTATTTAGTTACGTTTTGTTCTAAACAAAGTCCACAGGGAGTTTTTTTTTTGGCAGGTTAGGTCGGCTTTTATCGGCTTATCGTTAACAGTGAGTTAAAAGTCCTTTCATTAGTTGACTAACAGCGACATTGATGAATGCGCATTAAATCTACACCATGTTGATCACTGAAATGCGCTAGAAGAAAACTAAATAATGAGTGTAACCCTTTTTAAATAGTATTATCAAGCCCGAATGATAGATCAAAAAACAGTGTTTTTAACAGTGAGCAAAGGCGTATATAGTTAAATTACCCATATAGTGTAGGCTACTTCTGCTTTGATTGAGAAATCATTAACAGAGAGTGAAAGAGTCATTCTTAAATGATTGTTACTTGATAACGTCGTCAATGATTGCGCACGTTGTCTTCTACACGATTGTCTATCATTAAAACGTACTTTCCACTTGTTAGAGCCAAACGCGGCTAAATTACGGTTTTAATACTGATACTATCATTAAGACCACCTAATAGATCAAAAACTATGTTCTTTAAACTAGAGAAAGGTCTACATCGTGGGTTCATTAGGCCTAAATTGACCAATATATCCCACACAATTTTTGATCATCACATTATACCAAGAAATAATAATGAGTGTAACCTTGAGCAATAGATAAAAAAACTATGATCTTGAAAACTAGAGTAAAGGCGTGCGCAGTTAAATAGGCCTGCGCGTTAAATAGACCTGCGTCGTAGATCACTTCGTCTTTTATTGACCGCTTGTACGCGCACAGTGAATCAAAAGTCCTTTCTATAGCGTCGTTCAGTGAATGCGCAACAGATTGTCCACACGATTAACGATCACTGAAATGCCCTCTAGAGTTCTCAAAACAAAACTAAATAACGAGTGTAACTTTTACACCATCGTTAGGCGGGAATTATCTCTCCTTATGCTGATAACGTCATTAAGGAACGTGCACCTTATTTTCGACACAGTTTTTTATCACTGAAAAAGTAAAAGTTGACTTCTAGTATGTAGTTAACCTGTAGTACGTTTTCATTACACAAATTCTTACTTGTGGCCTTGGTGTCGTTTTCAAGGTTTATGTTAACAAAATAGTTATCCATAGTTAACTTTTAGTACCTTATGTACTAAGAATTTACTTTTAGTATGTAGTTCATGTTTAGTACATTTTGTACATCGTTGAACATTTTGATTATACAAATTCTTACTGTCTATCCTTGGTGTCCTTTCCAAGGTTTATGTTAAAAAATAGTTAACCATAATTAACTTTTAGTACATTATGTATTAAAAATTTACTTTAAGGATTTAGTTGATGTTTAGTACGTACATCATTGAGCATTGTAATTATACAAATTCTTACTGACTGGCCTTGGCGTTCTTTTTTAGGCTTATGTTAACAAAACGTTGTTAAGAAATAATAAACGTTTTTGTTTCGTCGATACGTTATAGCGATGTCATAATACTAATGTAAGTCATTTTGTCAGCTGTGGACCTAGCCGACTCACTGGGTAAATATCAAATCGTTTCGTATACTTTATTATCTGACCATTTCATAACAATGTGGCTTCCATTTAGGACTCGAACACACTTCTTTGATTGTCTGACACTAAAGTCGTCAATAAAGATGTTTGACAACAGTGAACCAAAAGCACACAACTCACGAAACAGTTTTTATCAGATGATTCTTTGATTCATGATGTTTTTCTACTACCGTATATCTGCCTGATATAAAACGTAATTAATCATGACTATTCCACACTCCTTATTCCCACTCGAACGATTTCTCTGTCTGAGAAGACATGACGTTACCCGTTACATCAAGCACATTACTTCCTATTTATTGCCTTCGGGTTTAAAACAGCAATTTTGTGATATAATTATTTAGTTGAAGACGATCACATATAAGTATGTACTTTATAGTTACAAACGTTCAATTTAACTGGCAGAATTTAAAGAAAATTATGTCTCATCACTTCCTGATTTATCCTTTCCTTATTGACTACAGCCGTTGTCGGGAACGGAAACTGTAGTTCTTCCACGCGTCCCTATAAGATTAATCCTATCCCCGGCCGTTTCTTGTATTGTTGGTGCTATTGTTAACTGTCATGCTGTCATACTCGTGCGTTGGCAAGGAGATATTGTCAAACAAAATTGGTGGAGATCATATAATGTTGATCTCTCAACTTACTTTGCCAGGGGAAATTTCATTAAAATGAATGTACTTGAATGATGTGTTTTTCTTTTCTCTCCTTTTCTTGTAAGTGCGACAAATGCAAGGGCTCGCCGGTGCAACTGACAACCTCGATTTAGGTTAAAGTTGTAACTATAAACGATAACTATACTAACTATAACTATAAACACGTGCAAAAATCGAANAAATTTATGTTGTAGAGTATTTTAAAAGATTGCTATTTTGAGTATTTTTAGGTTTACCTTTTGTTTTGTTAGGTCTCGCCTTTTTGCGCCTACGTGTTATTTTGGTAAATTTATAGTTTTGATCTTTTGTTTTTAGTGTGTGCTTGAACTGGGCTTAGTTCGGGGATTTCTTTCTTACCGTGCTAGACATTTTAATCGCTTGATATGCTTGAGAATAATTAGTTTCATAGATGGTCATGTTTGGGTTGGTAAAACTGACATTGAGTTCTACCCATACTGTAGATCCGGTTTGTGCGCGTGATTTTCATCTGCGGCTCGATCATTGGCGTTTAATTGGTTCCTTGGTGCTCGCCGAGTGCTTCGGAGCGAGCCACCCAATTTTCCCTTTTGCAAAACAACGAATACACTATGGAAACTCCCACGGTCAGCTAACCCAAACATGTCTGTGATTTTTGCATTTAATACGTGGGCACTCCTTGCAAAAAGTAGAAGAAAAGTAGCAGCAGTAGTAGTGTAAGAAGAGATCTGAAACGTTGTAGTAGGAAAGAAAAAAAAGAGAGAAGAGTCCAGAGTCTCAGTACTTCTCGTTAAAAGCCAAGCGAGTGGTAAAGCCCCCCAACATTTAGCACACAAAAAAGGAAGACGAAAGGTTTAACATGAGACTAAAAATAACAAAATCAGAGAAAGATATTTAATTTCTTTGTTCGTTCAGGGCATGTTACTTGTCAGATCTGTCCTCTTGTGGGCCTAAATGTAATCAACCCATCGTATTTTGTTAAAAAAATAACACTTTGTCACCGAGAACTGAAAGTGCGTATTTGCTACTAAAATGCGTATTTGCTACGAAATACGTTTACCGAAATAAATTGTGAAAAAAGTCTTAAATTGAATTATTCGAAAATGGAGGCAGTTCGTCTTTCAAAGCGCAAACCATATGTAGAAAAATTATTTTGTTAAAAAGAAAAGAACGAGTTTTATCAGGAAAAAACGATTCGAGCACCGTCAAACAAATCTTCAACTTCAAGGTCGAGTTTACTTCATAGCCTAAGACAGGATTTTGTTCAAAAATTGACTTGTGAAAGAATAAAAAATATTTCCTATTTAACGGGGCTTTGGTGGAAACTTTTTATTCGTAAATGACCTTCGGAATCTGCAAAAATCTCAAATTTATTGGTTTTTTTGGGTCTTTGTACCTACGACTGAGTATTTCCTTCACACTGCTTAACATTCTCTGCATTTCAGTATAGCT